AGACACAGAGAGAGAAAGTCTTTAGAAGGTGATTTAACGGAAACGTAAGAATGGAATAATTTATGTTGATGGATATTTAGAAATTATTAATTGTTGTAGAATCTCTCTAGAATATACTATATATACTGTACGATAGAGTTCAACTTTGTCATAGTTTTTGTCTCCTTAACAGATTCAGAACAGATATTAAACTATCGGACAGTAACGTTTTCAAGCCTTATCGTTTAAACAGAAAAGAACTCAAACGCTAAATATTCCAGTTAAAAACACCAGATTTACTCTATCAATACGGCAAGTTTCAAATTTTTCCCATATTTCTGCGAATCTTTCACTTGCGAGGAGTCTTTAAATCTCTCAAGCTACTTGGCCTGCAAGAGTTCAAACACCGAGAAAGATAAGTCCCTCTCGAAGTTCTTTCGTTGCGTTCCCCCACTTAGTTGGCCCTTTAAACCCCTGCAACGCTTACATTCATTCCTTGTAGCCTATCCTTCGAGGCAAGCTTCTGTTCGGTTTTCCCTTCTTTTCCTCCAGCTTTTCACAGCCTCTACTTTGCGCCCTTGTATCAAGGTGAAAATTCTTAATCTTGAAATACATCACGAAACAGCAACTGCAGCGAAGATGCGCATTCGCATGTTTACGCGTTGGAAAATCGAGCAGCAGGAACATCTTTCTAGCTTTGTTTCGTTTCGCGAGACGGGAAACGGGCGAAAAAGAAATAAAAGTGTCGCTCGTAGCACAAGAAAGAATTCGTAGGAGGATTTCGTTCTTGGCTCGTCACACGATTGGTTCGAAGGAAGAATAGGAGACGCGTCGAACGGGGAGAATAAAATCACTTTAGAACGAGTCATTTGTGTCTTTGGATTTATGTGCTTCCTTTGAATGCTGCGGCCGACTCGCGAGACCTTTGTAACTCCAAGCGGGAAGAAGTGTTCGACTCAGCCGGCTCTACTTTCTCTTTTCACTGTTCTCTATTTTCTTTCCCAAGTTGCTCCACACTAGAATTTTTCTCTTCGCCTTTTCTCGTTCCCGTGGAAAAACTAATCGTGAAATGGGATTATCTGTTCTATGATTATACGAGGATTTTAATTGATTTTTATAAATAAAGATACTGCATCGAATGCAAGATTTATAGGATACGTCCTATAGAATTTGGAAATTTCTCAAAAAATGTGTAGAGTGCAAAGAGTTGAAATATTAATACATCAAACTATATATCATCTACTTTCTTTTCATTTTAAAAAGATCGCTACTCGTTCAAAACGTCTGCAAGTTTTACATTTGCAATCAAGACAATTCGTTTCACGAGTCGTCTCATCTCTTGACACTTTGCTTAATCTCGACTTCTATCCTATCATTATTCTGTTTTATCTAGGATTATCGCCTTCCATCTTCCTCTACCTGTACTTCGTCAAGCTTTATTCTTTGTTATCGCGTACTATTCTTTTACTTCTATTCATACTACTCACACTATCCAGTTTAAATTTCTAATTGTTTGCACTTCATCGTGGTAAATTCATCGTGCACAAAACTTCATCATGATCTGCTACGTAGCGCAGCTTTTCACATTCTATACTTCCTATGACTAATATTAAGTTCAGGCATAAACTCGAACACAATGTCGAGGATGCTCGATGGTCTCGCCTTAACGCCAGTTTCACCGAGACCGCTCAACTAGAATAATCCACGTAATTGAAGATTCAACGAAGGAAGTCAGAGGTTAGGAATGGATCGTGTTGTTCGGTAAGTTTATCGCATCCCTGTGGGTTCGATACGCAGACCAATATCCTATTTACAAGCTTAAATTAGTTGCACCGACGAACGGGGTTAACTATCAAATTGAAACAGGTGCGCGTACCGCGCGAGTTTATCCGAATCAAATTCCGATCGTGACAACAAGTGTAATTGGTCCATTTGCAGGGAAAATCTGATAAATGCGGCGTTGCCCGGCGAGTGTTGGATGACACTAATGCCACGATTGCTGCAAAATCCTTAGGAACTCGGCACGGCAAAAAATTCGTCATGTTTCGGTCAAGAATTTATTATATTAACGTCGCACAATAGGACTTTCATTTTCCTAATTGACCGCTAACGTGCACGCTATATAGTATTCAATCTTGAAGTTGAAAAGGAAAATATCGTGCATACAGAAATACGTACACAAATAGAAAAAATGTATGCCTTTTTCACCTATAATTTTCATCCAGCAAAATATTTCTACCTTCATCTGTCTTCTTCTTCCGATTTCTTTTTCTAATACGATCCTTACAATTGTATTATTTTTATGATACATGATAATAGCGTATTAGGTATATATTGTGCAATGTAATTTTAAAAATTGTCGAAAGATCGTATGTATAAATTTAGATTAAGAACGTAAATAAAGTAAAGATATTTCTATAGTAATTTTTTAAATATGTGGTAATATCTTAGAATACTAAAAGTTGGTCGAAGTAATTGGTACGAATAAACATGTTCGTGAATGATATATTCCGAAGTAGAAGCTTGTCATAAAATGTATAAATATTTATCACGACTTGGCTCGGCTCTCCACCACGGCTTGAACGAGCAGGGGTTCAACGCGATACAAAAACGGGGGCTATAAACAAAGACGCTATGAAACGTCAAGGAAAGGTCGTTACATTCTCAGTCACTGCCGCGGTATCGCGCGCTCAACATTAGTTTTACGATACGGCTCGTGTCTTACGTATTATCGCGACGTTTCTCGTGTTATAAGATGTCTCTCGTTGCTTAATTACGTGTTGTATTAAATGTCGCGAAATTCGTGAATCTTGAAAAAGAAATATCATTTCTCGTTGTTCTACTAGTGCATTCTCATCTTCCATGCCATGGAGATTCATCATGATGGTAACATGATAAAATATAATTATTAATATCCTTACGTACATAAGTATCTATGCACAATGTACTTTGTTTATCGGTGTTTTAAATATCATTGTTAAATGATTAAGTAATTAATAATTTTCTATTTGAAAGTTCCCTATTTGAATGAAAATATTTTTACTTTTGTTAGTTATGTCACTCTTTTAGCAAACCAACGATATACGATATAAATCACACTCTTCTATTTTTCGTGTCAATAATTGCGCGTTTAATGATACAATCGAATTATTTGAACATTATTATAGATAATTAAAGAACAATCGAAATTATAAGCGAATCGAAGTTGCTAAAACTCCTCTAACGATAGAGAAAACAGATTGCGAGTTGGTGAAATTGCACTACGACTTCGAAATACTGAATTTTTGCAATTCGCAAAATTCATAGTTACGTAACTGCTGTAAAGTGATATGTTTTAAATGTAATATACGGTATATACGATGTAGCTTGTAGCAAAGCTGTACTATACAACGATGAGAACAATTTTTAGAAAGCTTAAATGGGCGGGCGAGGCTTTCACGAATGTAATAACCGTAGAAGAAAATTAAAATAGATAGATACAACGGATACAAAAGTCTTGACTCAAACAAGTTATTTTACTAAACTGACTGCTAAAAAACTGCGAAAATGTAATAAATAATTTATCAGTATTCAAAGCGCGTATCGTATCGATCGTTTTGATTTATTTCGATAAATAAATAAATCAGTTTCTATATGGTAAATAACAGGCTACTTCAACCATGTGATTTCTGTAATCAATAACAATCAACTTTGCTTCGAAACATACTTTGCCTGTGAATACTGAATACAGAAAAACCGTATTTCACTCTCGTCCGTTGTATGGCCTGTAAAATATACAATATCGATGTAGAACATCGATAACTCCATTGCCAATTACCTGCCTTAATTTTAAAAATCGTCAATTTATTCTTTTCGTAACAAGCAAGTAGGAACTAATTAACTGGCAGACAATGTAAAAAGGGAAACCTGTCATTTTCCACGAACATTGAAGTAAACCGATACGTAGCTTCGATAGCGATGCAACATTATCGGCGAAAAGGATCGGCCGAAGACAGGAAACAGAAAATAGGTCGATTGGCGTAGCGGTTCGATGGAATCCCTGCGGATCGAGGCGACCAGCCAATATTGTATTTACATGGCCGAATTAGTTGAGCCGGAATGAAATTTTGTTCCTGTTTCCGAATCTCTCGCGATACGCGCAACTTCCATACAAGTAACGATACGGCTGTTTAATTCCGTAAATAAAATCTTTGCGGAAAGTTCGACGAAACCGAGTTAAAAGTACCACCGCCGTGTCGCTCCGTGTGTTATAGATGGTTTTAATCTAAGATCAGGTCCCTTTTTTAAGTATTACACTTTCGATACACTCGAACACTGCACTCCCAATGCGCCATTTTGATTTTGCAAAATTTTTTAAATTTAATTTCTCTTATCATGCAAGTTATGTACCCATTTCTTACATAGTTCAAGTCAATCACATGCATTTTGAAAAGTAAGCGAAATATGCTAGAGTATCTGTACTTCTTTAGTAATTATTAAACTATGGATATCCACGCAAACTGATACTTTTATGGAAACGATTAGAAAAAGGAATCTAAGCGGAGATTCTATCCATCAAATATTATCACGAATATATATACGATATTATCACTTAATTTTTTCGTACTTCACCGATAATTAACATAAAAATCCGCAACCTAGTCGTCGTATCTTTATGTATCACGTATGATTATGAATTATATTTCAACGATTAATTACTTACTTAATTATGCTGATCGTTCCAGCACGTCCACTTATCACCATACACAACGTTACGAATATGTTTGCAATCGTTTTCGTTATTAGACCGATATTCTAGAGTTCGATAAAGATCGATTGTTTCTTTCGATCGATTCTGCCAATCGGACTTCGACATTCTGCATCATGATCGTGTTAAGTTGGCAATCCAAGCTTGAGACACATGTACATATATTAGGTTGGCTACACTTGTTAGTTAGCCGGTAACCTTATTAGAATGATATGATAAATGACGCGTCTCAAGCATGTTTCGTAGCAGTATTATAGTTTTGGAAAGTAAGATTTTTATTTGCTAGGTAAAGGAAATTGAAACTCGCAGATTAAAATCGTGTTGTTTTCTTTGTAACTGTTCGATTCTTTATGTTGGTTTAAAAGCGACTGAACGTGCTGATTTCACAACGGATTCAACGAAATGAGCCGCGTCGGTAGAATAATCGTAGTGATATGTGCGCGAATATTACGTTTGCTTTCGTTGGAATGTCGGAAATTCTATTACGCGGGATATTATAATTTAGTTGCCGGTAGCTTGTGATAAACAAAGTGCTGATTGCGCTACAGAATATCTTCGGTATGTAACTCAAAGATATTTAACGCGGAATAGAAAATAATAAAATAGTATTCTAATTCCCATAATTCAAATTTTCTAATTTTTTTATCAAGTGGAAATTTAATACGTATTATCGTATAGCTTCACTTAATAATATCCAAGTTATTTTCGAACAGTTCTGCCACGTCATAAACAACTCCTATAGTATTTAAGATCATCAAGTTATTATCCTGTATTAAAGCCATCAGGCTGTAACATATTGGATAAGCATTGATCATTAGAGATAATGAGTTTGCATAATTATTAACGAGTTTAATGGTGAATGAATGCGTGGTCGATGGTTCGCAAATGTTCGTCTATCCATAAAGATCAATATTTGTTAAAACACGGCAAACATAATAAACAATGTTTGTTCATCGCTTTGTATGTTAAACCGATCATTATTAACGAACAAAACAGGCACTATAGACACGGTTAACACAATATCGATGTAGGAAGAATATGATTTATCGAAGTAATCGAAGCATCGGAACTGTTGGAAAATTATGGAGTTTAAATATGATTTAAAGAATCGTCGTTTCGATAGAAATCTATAGCACGGTTACTCGTTAAATCATGAACTTGACAGAAATGGCGGACGTGTATCGGCAATTGTTGCGATAAGGCTTTCCCTTCGCCCGCGCACTGCTTCAAAACGAATTAAAAATACCCCACTAGATATACGATAATTGTGGCGATGTTTAATATTGGTATATTTCCGCATCAAACGAACGGGTTCTCGCGTGCTTGATTCTCGTCCAGCCACTGTCATGATCGATCGATAATTTGCCGCGTTTGTCAGCGTTTTCGATGCGCGGTGCACGAGCTGGATGAAGCTGACCCCGTCGCCCCACTTGCGAATTTTTACAAAAACCAAACTGCGTTCGGCCGTCCACGATTTGACCACATTTGTCCGATTAAAGTTTTCGTTTCCCCACCATCCGAAAAAAAGTTACCACCAAATGAAAATTTAAAAAGCTCTGGTACCTTCCTTCTTCGAAGAGTGGATAAACGAAAATTTTGATCGGACAAATGTGGTCAAATGGTGGACAACCGAATGCAAGTTGGTTTTAATAAAAGTTCGCATTTGAGGGTACCAACTTCGCGCAGCTCGGTGCTCGACAATTTTTAATCGACGCGCGACCGGTTCGTCACCGTGGAAAATTGAAACACGCCCGTCGGTCAATATCACAGGCACGTTCAAATAATTTAATTACACGCAAGACGCGTGGAAAATGCTGACAAAGGGAACTCTAGGAATCCCGGAAATATCATCCTACTCTTCGATTTACTTTGAAATTCCATTGAAATTCTTCTCTCCATAGAACTAGATAATTCTATCACAAGAATCATAACGAAACAACGTATCAAGATTGGTAGAACTTTGTAACAGCTTTCGTACATTTCTGCAGAAAAATAGATCTCAATTAATTGTAAGTGCAAAACAAGATAATATTTTATTAGTTTAGAGAAGTAGAGTTTTTAAAAGCATAGAAACACTTTGATACGCGTGGATTTAATGCAATCGTTTCGCTGGCACTAATTTTTAGGTGGAAATGGGAAAATCAATTCCATTAGCGGTCAAGGCAACGAAATGACGAAGCCTAGAACGTAATACTACTTGCGATTGTAACTTAAGCCTGCAATCACGGGGATCTTCCTTGCATTTTCCGTGGGCTTAGTAGCCATGGTGGTATCTCTGAATGAGATGATCGATCGAAACCAGCGTGATATATAATAATAGCGTGGTCGACCATTGAGATAACAAGATCCATACTTTTAAATTCACCCTGGAAAACTTAAATCCATAGAGTTTGAATAGCGCGAAGCTTTGTAAGAATTTTGTGGAAACGAATGTAACGAATTTGATCAAGTGGATTTTTCATTGGACTAGATTTCAGAAATATATTTCAAAATTCAGTTTGACGTATATTCGATATTTAAACGATCTCAGCTCGTCCGTAATCTAAGCTTTAAACGAACTCAACTTTAACGTGAAAGATTACTCGGGCTCTATGCTATTTCGTGCCGGTGAATCGATATAAATATGAGTATGGGGACTTTGGCGAAGAGCGATCGTGTCAAAACGTAGGAAACGCGGAGAATTTCTCGGGGAACGTGAGACAAATATTCGAGATCTGCCATTTTTAACTATCGACGTGGGTCGATTTTAAATAGCACGGGTAAAGAAGGAGATCAATGAGAAGGCTGTTTTAAGGAATGGTCGACCATAATTTAGAGCGTTGACGAAGATATCAAGAGGAAATAGGATGAGAGGTTAATTGCTTTTTTCCAAGCGGTTCGCTCGTTGAGAAAGATAAAAATTCGCTACTTATCTTTTATACCGGTGTTCTTTTCCCGGAGCAGGAAATAATTTTGTGGTTGGTAAGCTTGAGGAATGATATCGCTGTAGGTTACTAATAACCGGGATTGAGTAAATGTTTATTTTGTGCTGTTGCAGCAAACTCGATGTAGTTCAAACATTGAATTTATTTCTGTATGCCAAGATAAATTCAATAGACGAATCTTTTGTTTAATCTGAGAAATCTCGAACGATAGTACAGTGTAGTTTAAATATTCGAAACCTAAATTTTTTCCTCTCCTGTAATATACGACTCTGGATGTGAAAGAATCATATGCATACCTAATTTTCATATTTTCTTATTATAAACACAGGTACCTAATTTTTCTTATATAAGAAATATTTTGCTCGCTCCTAAGACGATCAAATTTTGTTGTCCTTTATACCTTTTGTACCCTTTTAGTTCTGTCTTAATTCCGTGGTCATAACTTACTCTCGGCAATCGATATTATTGCCACGGAAGCCAGAGAGCTGACGAAATTTTATTTTGCTCCGTGAGATTATCGTGAGAGCCATGGTTAACAATCTATATCCTGTGTTAGATATTCACGAAAGTCTCAGCTACTACTGACCTCGACTGGCCAATTGCATTTAGCTTGAGCGCTCTATCACAGAGAGATGGCAGAACTTGTTCTTAATGAAGACATTAAGACACGCGGTTTGATACTAGCTTTATACATAGAATTCTTTCTAGTTGAATAAGATTCAGCCGTAGTCGTGAATCGAGTTCTCTATATTGTAACAAATATTGCGAAAAGGATCATGGAAGCATAATATATTTATCGGTCATTTATCACAGGTTACGATATAATTTATCTCAAAAAAAACAATATCGGGGAAAAAGAAATACAAATATTATTTCTGCATTTTTTTGTGCAAACGAAGAACATTCATTGAATTACACTTTGGTTTAAAAATTAGTCGTTTAAATTTTGATTATCGTATTTATTCGGTCCTGATTGCTTTTATTTATGGCATATATTTTTTTTATTAGTTTTTTTTCAATTTATCCAAGTTTCATTAAGTTCGACATAAATTACGATCTTATTACGACAGATATAACTAAAAAATGAATGAGTAGCGAATAGAGGCAGTTACGCGTAAAGAGACCTTCCTTCCTCAAGTTATAATCGTTTTCCTTTACTGCAGGGAGCTATAGTTAATCGAATGAATGTAAGTGAACGAGAAAAGAGAATGATAAATGAAGCCGTAGTTGTACCTAAACGAGCATCCGTTTATATCCTAACATGAATTGCAACGTGCACGGGTGGCTAAATATAAAAATTATACTTTAACGGATCCAATCACTCTATCTCAATAATTAATTCAGCAATATTACCACGAAGAATTATTAATCTGTTTTCTTTCGGCGCAACACTTTACGATATATTTATTGAAACATTTTATGTTTCAATACCCTAAACTATCAAGAATTTGAAACATAACTGCAATTTCTAGAATTCTCTATTTTTGAAACAGATTGTGTTGAAATTCACAGTTGGAAGGAAAAATAAGTGATAGATCAGCCAGTGGAAATGGATATCAATGAAATTTCTTCAAATACGGTTTATTTCAACAAAAATGTAGATGTTAATTTCAATTATTTAAGAAATAAACTACGCACTATACGGATATATAATGCCGATTTATTTTTCTCCGCGACTTTAGATACTTTTGCTATTTGCAACTTGCAATTGATTTTCTCGTTTCGCAAAGTTCAGATAAAAGCAAACAAAGCTTTTCGTGACTTTCTGTTTCCTTCCATCTAAGCTCCGAACTGCGAGCATCCTTGACGTGAAACGCCGCAACAACAATCTCTGCACTGTGCATGGATTCGAAGAAACGCGACAGAAATTCTGGCAGGCACATTTACGAAACTACAAGCGAACGAAACCGCGTGTTTGGAGTTGCTCTGATGTCTCGTACACGTACATTGCGATTCGTGGTTTTTCCCTCTCTTCTCGTATTCTCGCTCACCGGAATCGCAGAAACCATTGCGTTATTTATGCGCGTTCGTTTAAAACCGCTGTTTTCGGTAGCTAAGGCTGTTTATCATTTAAATGGGAAATACGAGATATGGAAATAACGAGGAAGAAGTGCGTAATTGTGGAAAAACGAGGATTAGGGAGAGCGTAATCGTAAAGAGCAGTTCAACGGAGCGACAAAATTTTGGGACGAAAGTTTAGTCTTTTCTTACTCAGTTTTTATGAAATATAGAAGTTTTTAAAATAATTTCAGAGTTGTAATTAAAAATGAAAACGTTAAAGCAGATTTAAAACGATGTTCTACAGAGGAACAAATTTTTATAAGATAATTGTACATTTTATTACCGGTGTCCGGAAACATGGAACGACGCTAAATTGAATTTCTTTGTATTTCGACTATTTTTCGGAACAAACCCTTTATAATAAAAGGGTAGTGTTAATTTCAAGAACGTAGTTTTAATCTACAGAGCAAAGCAAGATCGTTGAAGCAATTAAAAAATTAGGAAACAGAATAGAACGATTATCCGTTTCAACGTTCTACTTCTACGAAAATCTACTTCTATCATCTGTGATAATTGAAATTTCAAGATTCACACGATAACGATCAAGTGCTTTAAAAATTTACAAGTCATTCGCGATCCAACACAATCCAACCGTCGAACAATAATTTCATTTCTTTACGCTAGTCTCCCGAATACACTTGGGTTTATCTCCTAAAGAGCAACCTGGCAAACTAAAACGCGAACAACTACGAATTGGAGGAAATACTTTTCCTCCGGTTCTTTAGATGGTATTGCTCGAGAGACGTTTCCCGGCAATGGTCGTAAGCGTGCAAAATCTAGCGTGGATCGAAGTTGCGTGCACGGACAATGAGAAACGACTACTCGCCGTACGGTAGAAAATTCGTTGAGCAAAGTGGCGAGCCCGTTTCGATCTCTTTTCTCTGGCCTCGTCTCGCAATCCGGCGAGAGGCAGCTCTTCGAACGAGGGCAAAGTAAAGCTCGAAAGTGTATTTGCTAAACGACTTTGAAAGAATCGAACGATTCCTTCTCGTCTTCTCATCACCGTCTTCTTTTATCTCTGGTTTCCCTGTATCTCGGTTTTTAACCGGTCGCGCGGTATTTTCTATCACGTCGATTTTCGAAGATTCGCCCTCCGATAATTTACATCATCCCCCGTCGCGCTTTGTAGTACTTTGCGATTTTATACGCGTCTTTATGCATGCGATGCAAATGTTTCTATATGTTCTTGCTTTCTAGAAAATAAATATCGAATCTATATGCACAAAGAGTTAAAATGCATGGGGTGCAAATAGAAGGTACAAAATTATTGCACGGTGGTTGCAAAAATACAGATAATTTTTTGTATCGCATTTATTACATTTACATTCGTTTGATTAAATTGAAAATCGTTCGATTAAGGTGAAAACAACGAATTTTATTAAACGAATTTGCGGCTACTAGAATGCTACGAGAACGCTATTGGTACTTGTTAATCCGTTCGAAGTTCATTGCTCGGTATCGTTTCATTTATTTTTCTTGATAACAAAATCCACTTGAACGTTTCGCGTATAGTAGGTTGTTATTTTTGATCCGTTAGAAAATACGTATAAAATATGTGAGAATTCTCGTACCCGTATGCATGGCAAATACGATGTATTATTCGAACTATAATTCAAAGAAAGAATAACTCGATCGTGCATATATGTATGTATCCCGTCGAAAGCTTCATCGTTTCCGTGGTCCGTCGATATACGACTGCTAGCTTTAAATACAATATCTTTTACGACTTAACGTTGCGAGAAAAAATGTCGTGGAATTATTGATTTTATGTCGGTAAGCGTCGTATCTCGATTACTTAGATCCCGTTGAAACCGATATCGTCCTTTCTCTTCGTTGCCATAAAACTCGCCTTGAAGATAGTCTAAAACCGGAATATCTAAGATGAATGGATCGGATCCGGCGCCTATGCACTCTGCTCGCAGAACCTTCTGACGTATTTGGTACGCGTGTGCATATGTACAGGTTCATCCCGCATATTCAAGCAACGCTCTTCCACCGAAACAGATACACGGTTCTCGCGTTCTCCGGAAAGAACGGGACAAATGCATCCTGTTCTCCCTGGTCCCTTTCCCCGGCTGTTCCTCGAGATAATGACGATCTATGGTGGGCTGCATAGTTTTTCAGGTCAGCGTTATCTGGTGCGTTCCGGTGTGCAAGAACGCTAGCTAGCACGCATACCGCGTGAACGAGCTGCGAAACTACCGAAACTGTTTGTCTGGAAGTGACGAGAGGTCCAGCATACCGGATCCCCGGAATTGTTGTTGCTCCAGATGAAAGCAGAGCATGTGGAACCATCCGCGTACCTGTCTCGTAAATTCGCACCTCTCTTCCCGTTCTCCGCCATCTTCATCCTTTACCCTTCTTTCGCCAGCCACGAATTTATACTCTTAACGCTCTACGCGCTACCGTGGCTAGACATTTCTAAAAAACTTGTTAACAAATGACGGAGGAAGCCTAGAAACGTTTAGTTTCGTTGCTTAAATAACATAAACGTAAATAGCAACGACGTTTGAGGTATCGCGAGTGTTTCAAATAGTAGTAACGTTGGTAATAACGGTTGGTTTTGAAATAAATAGCAAGAAGCTATTAATTTAATGCTTAGCCGAATGTGTAAATCACCGAAACTGTCAAATAATCTCGATATCTCGTAATCAGCGCTTATGGGAATTATTATGCGAATAAGCGCGGTGGACCGTAGAAATAGCGATTATTTTACACAAGTTTACAATTTTCATAAAAGTTTACGATCCTTTGTTCTTCAAATATTGTATAAAAGAAATTCTTTTTGTTCTAGGCTGTCTCTAACGTCGGACCAACGTTCCATCTCGTGTTCGTGGTAAGTTTTACATCCTGAATACGTTTATATGTACGATAATATGCAATATCGTTAACAAAGTTTAAAATCAGCACAAGTAATTGTTATTCGTTAATTCTCGATACATACGGAATCCATCGTATACGACACAAATAATATCGTTAAAGTTACTTTCTCTACTTCATCTTAAGGTGCATCTTAACCGACGAAAATATTTGACTGCTAATTAATTTACTTCCTGTTTGCGTTTATTACGTGTAGACTAGAAACTTGGTAAAATCTTGAAAGTTGGTACGTGGTCGTGCAAAGAGCTGTTTACGCGGGAAGTAGATATCGTTTTCTTCCAATTTTGTCCCCTGCCTCTTCTCGAAATTTCCTTCGTACGTCAACTTTCCGCTTTCCGTTTCACAAGAGCGTTCGTTACTCGACGCGATTTACGGATAACTTTAATTTACTCAAGAATAAATGTTTCTCGACTGGCGCGGACGTTAGGAATATCGCGAATCCCACGAACCAACTTACGTTAATTAAGCAACGACGAAACATAACGTAATTACGCGCGATCATACCCTAGTAATTAGACTTAATTTGTTGTGGAAGATAAACGAGCGACTGTTTCTACACGCTGATGGTAACAAGACATCGTCCTTCTCGCAGTTGCGTATGTAATTTATCATAATTTGGCTCTTAGTTTTTCTTCGCGGATCGATTCCGCCATCTTTAAATTTCACGTTCGTTACATCAGCTGTGCAACTCTATACATATCAGCTTAGATAGTCGAATCTGTCCGATATGCTAGCATAAGCGAAAATACGTTTTATTAAACGCTTATCAGTACATTTGAATCGTTGTAACGAACTGATTGGGATCGCAAGATACGACAAAACGAGGAATTACAGGGAAAGGAGAGTGGGAAATATATTCAACTCGATTGTTTCCCTCGTGTTTATTATTTTTAATAACGTTTCGTTATAACGAAAAGGGAAAACGAATTAACAAGCTCTCGGGCCAATTAACATTTAAATCGAGTAAAGGGCACGCGCATACACAAAAAGAGGAGAGTAAATATTAGGGCGATTATTATTTGTTAAAAGAAGCAAGACAATGTCAGCAGATCTATATAAGTTCGCTGACTATCGGTTACTGGTACCGGGCATCGCGTTCTCCGATTTAAAGGAACTTTGGTAACTAGTTATAAAGGCCCCTGCAAAACGTTGTTGTACGAAACGTCTTCGAAGTTGCAGAAGTATAACGACAGAAATTCAACTTTACGGAGTAACGCGCCAAAGATGACAACTGTCGTCACCTTTGAAAAAATATGCAGAGTAACTGTACAACTGTAACTTTAGAATTATACCACTGCTTCACGGACGAAGCATATCGTTTGCCATTAATTGACATTTGACGAATGTATCAAGATCACAAAGTATACGTTTCGTCTTTCGATGAAACTTTTTATCTTCGAGATTCGTCCCAAAGGACTGTTTGATGCATCGAAGTTTTTGCGTTAGTGATATGTTAGGAAAATAATCACGCTGTGAATAACGGCATAAGAAAATACTGAAGCCGAGTAATATCTGTAGAAATGTCGAACTCGCGTGGTTTTACTTGGACTTTCGTTCAGATCGACGATTGTACAAAGAATAGCGGAAAATACCAGGCGTCGTAATCGCAGAACGTCAGGGCCCGGCATACAACACACCATACGAAGGAGAGCTTAAAATTTATGCGGCCTCGAGGTCTTTGATAACGAAGGTCGCTTTTTGATCGTCCCAGGCGTTCGAACTCTGCATTTTCTTACTCGAGATTTATTTTTCGTCAAGATACTGAGTGGCAAAGATCGAGCGTCGTCTCTCACAGTTACAGAGTCACCGTCCACGTACCAAAAGGCATGGCTGTCTGCCTCGCTTCGCGGTGCAGCGTCTCTATTCTTTGGCAGTGCGACGTCGGATCGCGCGATACCAGAACCTCACGCATTCTCTAAATTCTAAACGGTCGTATCGCCGACACTTCGTAGCACGACGATTTGGAGTCACCGCGTCGTACGAAGTCGAGTATGAAAATATTTAAAATGTTTTAAGCTGCTAATGTACTTTGACCGAAGATGGAGAACGAAATTGAACAAGCTTGACAGACGATTTGGTTAAGAGTCGCGGAATCTATCCTGTAACCAAGTAGCTTAGGATGGGTGAAGAGGTGTTTGCCGATCTATCTAATTATTTAGAGTTATTCGATGTTACCTGCTTTGATCGTGCTAGCTGTGCTACTAGAAGCAAAAGGCTATGGTGGGTAAGAGGACTTGTAAAGCAGTTCCGTTGATCCAGATCTCATTCCATGCATTTTATATAACACTATACGTTAGAAAAACTCTAACAAATACACGGTAAGTTATGGCACGATAAACGTCGCTCTTCGATGAGATCTTTTTCTAGCCATTTTAATATCGTAAAACGTTCTACGATTCTTTTCGTTTACATATATAATTTTTCTTTTTTTTTTTTTTGCAATATTAATCTCGAAATAACAAGGAAATCATCGAACAAACTTACTTTACGATTAATTAGAATTTTATATTTTTAAACAAGTTACATTCTTCGGTATCTTTTATTTCCTAAACGACATTTGTTACGCAACACGAACCAACTTTCTGCCACGTTTAATAATAATTAATCCATTTCAAACCAGACTCTTGAGAATTATCTCAACGATTGATAGAAGAAACAACGGTAATTGTATTCACATTTGCATAGGCAAACTTTCCTCCAATTTTCCTCCTTAAGATCCATCTCTAACCGAAAGACACGCCGCAGAGTCAGCGTATCTCTTCTATCGTTATTCCCAGTCAGGGTGATTCCGTCACGGCAAAAACGTATTAGTTTGCTCGCTGGATCAAGCGATCGAAAAACTTGCAAGTTTCGCGAATCGATTCGTTCGACGCCGCGAACGCGACCAAACCGCTGGTAAAAGATAATTAGCAAGTACAACACGAAGATGGTAAATGGCTGAGTTTTATTAAACGATCACGTATCTGCGGCTCGGTAATGCAATTGCCCTGTTATCTCGTTCGTCCGTTGTTGCGATTCCGCGTGCAGGATAGAAACCTCTTTTTCTTCGTTTAAAGAATACGAATTACGGTCTGCACATGTAAAAACAACTATTATAGTTGATTGAAAGACAGTATCGATGGTCGTTCTGTGGACTTTTTCACCGTATTTCTCGTTGCAAATACGTCGTGTAAAAATTGCATATTGCTGAAACTTCTGAAACTTACAGGACGTCGTAATAAAAGATAGCATGCTGATTTTAGTTAACTTTTAGCGCGTTTACTGCCTGTTGCATACATTCCGTGTCGTAAACGTAGATAGGTCGAGGAAAGCGTGTTTCAGTAGGCCAACTTCTTTATTGCCGGTGTATGAATACTATTTCTTCTTTCTTAAAAGTTAAACGACCAGTTTTCTTGCATTTCTAAAAACACTCTTCTTAGATCTCTTACCATTAGCCTAAAAACATCAGGACTTACCGAAATTATCAAATGCCTATAGTCGTAATTTTAGAGAAAGAAAAATAGGAAAACTGTTCTTGGAGAACTTACATCGTATTGTTCCTTATCTCTAATTTTGATCGTCTTCGAAAGACGAACGAAAGCGATTTTAGTCGCGATCAACGAACAATAATCTTGTCCACTGTACGTGTATCTAAAAATTTCACGCACGGTATATCGGTTCAGGTAACGAGCTCGAAAGCACGTCGATAGATTCCATTGAATAAATTTAATCTTTGCAAATCGCAATAGGTTTCGTTGAAACAGGAAATGCCGCATTGCGCCGCTTCCACCGACCGAAAGTTACGTCCGGAAAAATGGCTTAGAATAGCAAGTCGCGAAGCGGAGTTAAAACTCGTTAAACGTGTTCAACCTCGAAAGATAAATCGCGTTAAAAGCGCGATATTCCCCGGTGGAGTTTGCTCGAGCGAGTACACCGGTCTAGCAGCAATCACCATTCCACGAGAAGAATTTTCTTTTTTTCCTTTCTTTCTTGCCTCGATCGAACAGTTGAAAAAAAGAAAACGGTGTGAGAGAAGAGGTTGGAACAAAAGAACGAGCGAGGGGGTATCGATGGAAAAAATTTTGGAAGCTGCAGGCAGAAGCAAAAATCGGACCTCGTCGACTAAATCCCGACAAAAGAACCGGAAAAATGATCCTCGATCGAGCCGGAGGAAAAAAGCGCGCGCGGCGTGCCGGGCCGATCGAAATTCAATTCAGCGTCGATTTTTTTGCGGTCTCGAGCACGAAATATCGAAATGTGCTAACGTTCCGCGATTCGCGACAATAAAGAGCAACAGAAACCGGGAACGGGAAGATTGGAAACAACGGCGAAACATCTAGCGAGACACCGTATCGTCGTCGGGTCGTTCGCTAAATCGAATTTAAGATGAAAGGAAAGAAGGCTGTGGTGGCGAAGGTGTCTCGCAAAAGTCTCGCGATCGAACTGCAAAACATTTTGAGAAAATCTCCGGTTAGATAAAAGGAAGATTATCGAGCGACCCAGTTCATCTACTCTCGTTTTCCTTCTTTTTTATGAATTTTGCCCGGATAAATGGAACGAAAAAACGGCAAAGAGTGGAAAAGTTGTCGAGGATGCAAAATTTTTTAACCAAATGCATAGGAGAGGGGAATGGCGGATGAAGAGGAGTAACGGAGCACAAAGATTGGCAAATATTTTTTATGGGACAAGGAGAAAGGATATAGAAACTGTATAAATGGCGTTAACTCTTATCCCGTAATATCGATCCTTTTTCGACGGCAGAGCGTTTTTATTTTTCCGCTGAAAGTATTCACGCTGCTCGTAAAATATATCTTGCTTTTTTATAGGTTACTTGCCTGTAAACCATCCTCGAGAGTGGGACAGTAGTTTACGTACGATATTCCAGCGGGGACATTATTGCGTAAACAAGAGAGAGAGAGAGAGAAAGAGATGCGTACAAAGGTTCCATGAAACGTAGTTGACTCAATAAAAGTCTGC